CTGATATCAAAGCCTGGCAGAGACACAACAAAAAAAGAGGATTTTAGACCAATATCCCTGATGAACATCGATGCAAAAATCCTCAATAAACCGAATCCAGCAGCACATCAAAAAGCTTATCCATCATGATCAAGCGGACTTCATCCCTGGGATGCAAGGCTGGTTCAACATATGCAAATCAATAAATGTAATCCAGCATATAAACAGAATCAAAGACAAAAACCACATGATTATCTCAATAGATGCAGAAAAGGCCTTTGACAAAATTCAACAGCCCTTCATGCTAAAAACTCTCAATACATTCGGTATTGAAGACCAGCTTAGGCCCTGGACACAGAAGTGGTCCCAGGTCCCAGAGCCCGGTCACACTGCTGGTGGAAGGCACCAACCACGGAAGCCCAGCGCCACTCGGCCCACACTCCTGGTTCTACTCCCTGATCTTCCAGAACCTTCGGACGATACACGTCATCCCTGGTGCCCCAAGAGCAAGGTCAGGTGGAAGCAGAGGTGGTGACAGATTTCTCCTTGACACTGGAAGGCACAGCCACTTGTTACTTAATTTTGTTAGTTTCATTCATTGTTTTAAAAAACAGAAACCTTCTACAGCACTTAGTCTGTGTCAGGCCCTGTCCTAAGCTTTTCCAACGCTAACTCATTTATCCTCCCCAGCCGGTGAGGAGGCTGCTTCTGCCCAGTCACTGAATTCCGTTTTGATTCGCTTCCCACTCTTAATTTTTAAAAGAATTACACAGTAACACAAATTCATTGTAGAGAAACTAGAAAGTCCAATGAATAATAAGGTTTTTTCTTTATTTTTCATTTAAAAATAATGGTAGACTCACAAAAAGTTATTTTAAAAAACACACACACAGCACAGAGAGGAACCATGCGTGCCCTTCACCCAGCTGGCAGAAAGTTCTAAGTCTATAATCTCAGGACTGGAAGAACTACGACCTCTCAGACAGGAGGAGTCTGCACGGGCTGAACGATATCTATGTGAGCCCTGACACAGCCCCTCCCACCTGTAGCCAGAGGGTGGCCCCACACAAGGCCCCGGAGCCCCCATGCCAGCCAGCGGGGTCCACCTCCCAGGCCCACTGAGGAGCGTTGTCTTCTGAGCAGGTGCCACCCTCACTCGATGTCCTGGAGATGGCTGTCACCTGTGACATAAAGCCACTCACCTCTGGAGGGCCCCTGGGGGCTCCTGAGGACTGGGGGGCCCTGCCCAGAGTCCCCCGAAGTGTACGGCTGTCACCCCATCCTCCCATCAGCCATCAGTGGGACGCTGGTCCCCAAACTGCAGCCATGCCTCGGACAAGACCAAGGCCCTCGTGTGCGATGGCCCGGCCTTCAGAACTCCAGGAGGCTCTGACGATCTGGGCCCAGGCGCAGACCCCATGGACTAGAGACTGAAGGGTCCAAGCCCCAGAGGCTGCCTGGGATGGGTGCAGTGGCCTGGCATGAGGGTGGTAGGTGCTGTGTCCCTGGGGAAGCACCCGGGGCTGGTTTACAGGGGTGCAGCCGGTCATGGAGGGAGGCAGGTGGAGGTTGATCTTCCAAGACCAGCACCCTGTGTACATTCAAGTCTTTGACGCCTTCCCTACCACCTCCCCGTGCCCACCTTGGGAGCCAGCCCCTCCCTGCCTCATCACTGGGGGAGGGGCACTGTCTCTGGACCACGTTGGATGCGTGCACCTGCAACCATTTTTCGGGGCCCCCCCAACACACCTAACACGCAAATAAAGCCACAGCAGAGCCCATGGGAGTGTCGGTAAGAGCCACGTTTATTTCTTAATTGGACAGAGCCTCAAGTGCACACACAGTACAGGAACCTAAGGCTAACACTCGGGTGTAAGACATCAGGACGAGCATCATGACGTCGGGACGGCAGCTATGATATGGGGTCTGGGGTGTGCCCACAGCAATCACATATGTACAAGCCAGGGACGCGGCCTCTGAGCCACAGGGGAACCAGGGGACGGACTAACTACAGGAAGCACAGGCCCAGGGAGAAACGCAGGTCACCACAGCTGCTGTCCATCTGGGGGACTGCACGGCCCGGCCCCAGGGGTGAGGGAGTGCGCCTTCCATGGTCCCCACACGGGGGAGGCTGGCATAGGACCAGTGCAGCAGCACAGCAAACACCCGTGACATCAGCCCCACCAGGGCCCCAGGCGCAGGGGACTGCAGGGACCAGGGTTGACAGGGAGGGCCACCTCATCACAGCCGTCCTGGGTGGGGGAGTTTGTGCCTGTGCAGCCGGTGAATGAAATATTGGCATCTTCCAAGGGCTGATTCTCAGTGGGAGGCCTTGGACTTGGCACCCCTGGGTACTTGCCGGGTCTCATCAGAGCCCGAGTGCTGGTCGGCCTGGAGCCCGGCATCCCCCTCTATCTGGAGCCGCAGCAGAAGGAGCTCCCCCTTTCTGGTGGAGGATGGCTGCCCCCAAACCAAAACAAGCCCCCAGACTCGGCAGCATAAAGCATTAAATGAAGCCGTCTGAGGGAGACGGCTTTCCAGATCTCACCTTCCCCACTTAGCAGGAACCAGCAGCCACGCTGGGCCTGACTGTCTCCTGATCACTGCACCCCGTGAGCACCTCCACACCAGCCCTCCACCTCACAGATGTGGAAACTGAGTCTTAGGGAGCTCAAGGAACTCAGCTAACGTGATCCCTAGGTGGTTTCTGGCAGAGAGAACTTCAAAAAGGCAGGTTTCCTGACTCAGGCGGCCTCCTCTCACCATCAGCTCTGGGTTTCTGGGCCCTGGCTCAGGCACTCCTCACTAGAGCAGGCCTGGAAGGAGGGAGTCGACGAGGGCTGTGGCGTGGCCCTGGGTCCTAGCCAAGGCCAAGACGGCACCTGGCCGAGAGGACACAGCCAGGCAGCCTCCATGGCAGTGGAGGCTTCTGAATTTAGGCAGCTCCCAGGCTCCTCCCCTCAGCCCACCCATGCTGCAAGTGCTCTGCAGGTTGGCTGGCCTCAGACACCTGCGACCTGGGGGGCACCCAGACCCTTTGGAGGCCGCAGCCTCAGGCTGGCTGACCTGAGTGGGCCGTGGCAGGGCCTGCACCTCCTCTAGCCTGCCTGGGGCCCGTGGGGCTCTGACTCATCTCAGACCAGCGTGTTCTGCCCCTGCCTCTCCTTCCCGCCTCCAGGCAGCCCTGGATGCCGGAGCGGGTGCTTCTGCAAGAAGCTGTTCTGCATTCTCTCCTCTCTGCGTCTTGGCCCACTGCCTCCAGAGGACACTCATGGGGAGCACAGGCCACCTGGCTTCTGAATTTTATTCTGGGATGTAAATCCTCACTCACCTGGGAGATTTGCAAAGAAAACTGCTGTGTCCTGTGTCCTGCCTTCCCAGGTGTGGCTTCCTGAGCCCTGATTCTCCCTCACAGAAACCCCCCATCAGCCCCTGGGAGAGCCTCCCAGGTAGGGGATGAGGGTGGCGGTGGCCACACCGCACCTGAGCCCACGTACGAAACGGGCTGTCCCAGGCAGGCAGCCACAGAGACTGCAGCCAGCGTGGGCCCCGGCCCGCCTGCCCTGCACCGCACTCTCCGAGGTGGAACTTCAGGGGCCCGAACAACCTTCCCAGAGGAAAATCTCACACCAGAACCTTCCCATGTGGTGTAGAAGGCCCATGCTCCCCCACTCCCGAGCCGCTGTCTCTCCCCAGGCATGGGATCGGGGTCTCTGAGGCTCATGTCATCATCACGGGGACAGCCTGGGAGGGTAGGAGCCTCGGAGCCAGTGGGGTGCAGCGTGTCCCCCACTCCAGGAAGCAGATCTGGCGAAAGTGCTGGGCGGTGCCAGATCACCTGGCCCTAGGTCTGGAGTGTGAGACCCGATGTAACTGCTCCCGTGGGCCATTGGAGCGCCAGACCCGACGTAACTGCTCCCGTGGGCCATGGCAGAGAAGGGGCTCTGTTGCTTGGCTACGGTCTTTCCTTGAGCTAAAAAGAGACCAAATTGACCTCTGGGTGTAGGTGGGGAGGGCCCTAAAACCTCCCCAGGCCTCTGGACATGACTCCTATGACCAGACTCTCAGCTTGGGACTGGCCCCCGTGCTGTCCTGGGTGGCCCTGGGACACTGGTGTCTGTAGAGGGGGTGAAATGGGACAAGAACAAAGGGACACTCTAGATGCAGAAGGGAAGAGCTCCTTAAAGACAGTAACCACTGAGCCAGCCGCCCTCCGTTACCCACCGACCGGGACACCCCACCCCATGGATTTTCTCAGTGGGACTCACAGAAACTCTGCCCTGGGAACAAAGGAAGGAAAGTCTTTGTAAGAAACCTGCTCGTGGCAAAATTTCTTCCCAGAAGCTACCTTGAGCTCACTCCATTTCTTACCGCAGCCGAAGAGGCTGCACCACAGCCCTCAACACCGAGACCGTCACCCTGAATTCCGACCTTCCCTGACATCCTGGTCTCAACCCATCACCCTACCCTGATGGTCCGCGGACAGCACACAGCCCCATAGTCTGCACACTGGCGGGTGATCCCGACCCTGCTCCCTCCCGGTCCCCACCCAGGACAGATCACGGCCCGGGTGCCGTCTGCCTCATCTCAGAGCCAGAGCCGAGTGTCACCCCAAACCCTTTCCTGGGGGAAGCTGCCGGAACTCTTCTTAGAGTCACATCTCAGGTGGTTGCCCAGAAGAGATGTGCGTTCTACCTCCCACCAGAGGAACTCACACCACCCTCCATGCCGCTCAGACTTCAGGCACCAGAAGACCCCCCACCCTCCCTCACATACACCCAGGACCCATGTGGCTGTGGAGAAGCCTGGGGCCCAGGTGATGCACCCGTGTGCTAGCCCCAAGGTGCCCCACTGGTCCAGACAGCTCCTCACTGTGGCCTTCCAAGGTGTCCCTGCCCTGCCCTGCCTGTCCCTAGCAGGTTTGGGAGACACACGTGGGAACAAACGGGGTGGAGGTGTTTGGGGGTTCCATCTGAATATTACAGGGCTATGTGGAGGCATTAGAAATAAATACTTATAAATAGAACAAGTCTTATAGTTAATTTCCGAGTTGACCGTTTCAATGTCACTAACTAACGTATATTAATTATAAGTCTGTCTATGCTTAAAAAAATATTAGAACGGCAGCAAGAACCCCGTGACCTGTGCCCTTGGCCCCCCCAGCCCCTCCCAGCTTGTTCCACCAGAGCACATTACGCAAGAAGAACCGACACGCGTGGCCTCTGCTGGGAGCACAGCTGGTCGTGTGGCACAGGTCCCCGGGCCTGGCATGGGTGTCCCCAGGGGGGTCGACCCGGTCGTGGGCTGTCTGGCAGGAGAGGGGCCGGGTGGCAGGTGACAGGACAGACGAGGACAAGGGTGGGGATGGGCTGGGCTTGCTGGCTGTCATGGGAGGGCTCGGGTTCAGACCCGCATCTGGGCAGACCTCCTTCTGGAGAGCTTGGACCTGCAGGAGGGTTGGGAGAGGCAGCGTGGTCAGCCCAGGAACACCTGCAGGCCACATCCACCACACCCTCCGCAGGCAGGCAGCCGTGAGGGGCAGCCACAGACCCCATGTCCCCACTGGTTCCCTCACCACCTGGGAAGGGACTGAATCTCTGCTTCCAGTGTGTAGGACTCAGCCCACCCGGCCCCTCCCGCACCCTGCTTTTCACATCCCTGCTGTGGGAGGGACTGGCTCCTTCCACAGCCTGCCCCAGGGCACACGATTTCCCCACGCCAAGGCCACTGGGTGAGGAAGTAATTTTGAAAGTATGGCCTGGGATGTATCACTCCACAAGAAGCCACGACTCAGGGAGTGTTAACAGCCCTAAGGGTGTCCCCAGCCCACACAAGCGAGGGCAGGCCGCACCGCCTTCCCCTGGCCGCACTGCTTCCCCAGGCGGCCTTGCGGGCAGGACCCCCAGCAGAGCAACCACACCCTGCGGCCGGCCCTACTGAATGGTCCCCGCCAGGAGGGGATTGAGGGCAGGACCCCGGGAGAGCAGTCTCGTCCCGCAGCCAGGCCCTACCAAATGGTCCTGGCCAGGAGCCGGTTGAGGGCAGGACCCCCGTGGGAGCAACCTCGCCCTGCAGGCAGCCCTACCGTATGGTTCCGGCCAGGAGGGGGTTGAAGGCGTACAGCCAGTCGTGCATGTCCTTGTCACTGGCGGCCTGCAGCAGGATGCCACGGTGCTCCGTGCACACCGCGAACGTGTTGGGTGTCTGCAGAGGGAGGTTGCTGGTGAGGAGCTGCCAGGCCGTGTGGTCAGCACACCACCCTCCTGCTCCCCAGGGCCCAGGCAGGCAGGGAAGGGGCACCGCCAGGAAGGTCCCAGGGAGGGGACACAGAGGGAAAGGCTGACCCAGCCAGGGCTGTGACTGTCTTCTGGACGCATCTGCAGCCGGTGGTCCCAGGACACCCTCACCACTGCTCTGTATCCCCACGGGACGTGCCTGCCCCACATGGCCCCTGCTCCCTGGGACCCTGGCTGGGTTGCTGGTCCAGATGTGGGTCCACACCGCCCACCTCCACCGCAGGGAATCAAAAAACCATCTCGTAGACACTGGGGCCACCTCCAGATGGCTCAGAGAAACTTCTCCTCCGGCCAGCCTGAAGGAGTCCGGGCTCCTGAACTTGTCCAGGGCCATTCCAGCGGGAGGGGCCGGGCAGAGTGGGGGTAGGAGGGCTCCTTTGAGCCCTGTGATTTCTGCAGGGCTGGTGCCACCACCTTGGGTGACTCCAGAGGACGGGACATGGCTGTGGCCATCACACAGGAGAACACTAATGCTTGCCCTGACCGGAGCCCATCCCCACTAGCTGTCGCCAGGAGCATGTGCCCCACGGGCAGGCAGAGGCCTGAGGCTGAGTCCCTGAGCCTGGCCTCTGTGGAACAGGACGGAGGGCCAGAGTCTGGGGTGAGCAGAAGGGCCTCCTGCTCCAACGCAGGGCTGCAGAGGGCGGCGGCTCAGCTCCCGCCCTGCTGGGGTTCCCGGTGCCCGAGCCTGAGCCGGGTCCAGCCGCACCTTGAGCATAGCCTGCTGGTCTTCGCTGTACTCCACCTGGGCGGTGGCCAGGTTGAGCACGAACCGCTCCACGGTGTCCTTGTCGCTGTTGTACATGTAGGCGTAGGGGCGCCGCACCACCACGAAGCGCCTGGCCCAGCCCGACGTGTGCGGCTCCAGGAAGTGCAGGTACCCCTTCTTGGAGACGATCGGGCTGAGGGCAGAGAGCTGCTCGCTGGGGCCCTCGGTGGGGGTGGCGGCTGACTTGGGCACTCACCGCCCACCACCCAGAGCTGGGACGCAGCAGTGCCACCCACCTCCCCAGCCAGAAAGTGGGTCGAGGCATCGAAGGGCCTGACCCCCATCCAGAACCCCGACCCAGCGGGCTGGAGACCAGACCACCCACCCAGCTCTGGGCCTCAGTTTCCCCCATAAAATGGAAAACCTTAAAGAAAAAAGCTAAAGTTGCTGCAAGGCTGCCACACGTGCCCCGTGACCACGAGTTCCCCACCTGGGCCTTGGCTCTGACCCCACCCACTCCCCTGTGCTCTGTGCTGGTTCCCAGCCCAGGCATGTGGGTCCCAGGGGCCTGCCTGACCTCCCAGCATGGAGCTGCCCCTGCATGTGGGTTAGGGGCAGCCTGCCTGAACCTCCAGTATGGGGGTCGGGCAACCTGCCTGTTGTATGAGGGTCCCATACTTGGGACCTGCGCCCCCAGTATGGGGATCAGCGTGGCCTGCCTATCCCCTGTCAGCACAGCTGGTGGCGGTGCTTTCCAGGAGGCCCTACACACCTGACTCGGATCTCCTGGATGTCAGGGACCAGCAGGCGCTGGGGCTCCTTGTCCGTCTCTGTTGCCCGGGCAGGGGAAGGGAGCTTCTTGGAGTCGGTCTCTGGCAGCAGCTCAGGCTCTGGGCTGGCTGGCCGGGAGCAGGGCTGTGGGGTCCTGGGAAGTAGAGGGCAGTGCTGCACACTGCAGGCCTCCCTGGGCCTAGGGCCATCTCCCCCCAGGCTTCACCCTCCTCGGAGCCGCAGTAGGGCACCTTCGTGGGGTCTCCCCAGCTGTGCCCACAGTGGGAGCTCCCGGGGCCCGTCCACCAGGACAGCCAAGCTTGTGCCTGATTCCAGGAAGTGCTGGGCTTGGTGGGGAGGGTCCCCCAGGAACCTCAGGGCCCCAGCCAGGGAGCCTGTGCCCCACTCCATGCCCTTCTCCCAGTGGCTCTCCTGCCCCCACCTCCACCCTGTGAAAGCAAGTCCAGCATCTCTTTATCTCCACAGTTAGACTGAAGGTGACACGAGGTTCTAAGGAGCCACTGGAGCAGAGGGCACAGCTGGCCTCCCGTATGGGCCCCCCACATGGGCCAGGCCCCACACGACTTGACCTGGTGGTCAAGGAGGCCTGCAGAAGACAAGGCCAGCTGATGCCACTGTCTTTCTTTTTTAAGTGAAAATTTGGAACCCTTAAGGCATTTTAAAACAAGAGTGAAAACCATCTGCCGGCTTATGAATCGGACATAAGGGGTTCACATGGGGTCTCTTCCAGATGTGGACCTGCAGGGGCCAGGTGTTCCCTCCACAATACTGACCCTAACAGCGCTCACGCCCTCTTTCATAACCTTCTCTTTTTCCATTATTTTATAAGCACTGTCTCAGGAAAAGGGAGCTTTAGCTTGTTTTCCAGGCATTTCTGGTCTTCTTCAGGGAAGAGAACACACACACTAGGATGGAGCTGGCAGGGCACAGGTTCCCTCTGGGAGGGCTGCAGACTCCACTTCTCCAGGCCCTTCCCTCAGCCTGCGGCCGTCCCGAGACACTTGGCTGTTGGGGCCCCCCGTTCTGTGCTCCCCGTGCCCGAGTCACGGCCATTGCCATGGGTCGGCCGTGGTGCCGGAAGCCTCTCCGGGAGCCTAGAGCTCACTCACCTCAGGTCAGTGGCACCGTACCGCCCTTCAACCAGAGAGGGGCAAGTGGAGGAGGGGGTGAGAGTGGCTGCCCCTAGAGGGGACATCGACGGGTCCCGGAGCAGGGTGACAGACATCTCAGAGAGCTGCGGAGGACAGAAGGCATTTTTCAGGGGACACAGGGAAGTGGGGTCTCCGGCCTCCGCAGGTGCTGCTCCCTGTGCCTACGTTTACCCCGCACCTGCCGCTCAGGGCACCCCACCCCTCCTACCAGCAGCCTTGGCTCAAAGTTGGCCAGCTCAAGACCCCTGGCCCCCTTCAGCCCCTGCGGCCCCTGGCCAGCCCCTCCCAGCACTTCAGGCTCTGACCTGACCCAGGCAGCCACCCCGCCAATGCCTCGAGGAGTGGGCTGGGTAAGCTCTGCCCTGCTGCCTCCTGCTCGTGCCAGCATGAGGTGGCGCTGGGTGATGCCATGGGGGCAAGGAAGGCCGTGGGCCGGGGCTGGATGCAGCACAGTGGCAATTTCCCAGGTTATAGGGGTGGGGTCGGTCCCAGGAGAAGGAGGGACAGCCAAGTGGGGGCTTGGCCAGAGGCCACAGTGTGACGGCCAGACAGGGTGGGGGCCAGGAAAACAGCAGAAGCCTGCAAGCACGTGGGTGCATCCCAGGTCACAGGACCCACCCGGCCCCTCACTCATGTTCCCACCTCCCATGGACTCCAGGCCGACCCAGGGAAACCAGCCACTTAGCTATGAGGTGTCTCTCTGCACTGAGATGTGTTCCTAGGAAACTCTTAACTGCCTTTTCCCACTCAGAATGGGAGTTTTCCTCAGGGACCACTGCCTATGGGGGCCCCAGCCCCACAGGGCAGCCTGGTGCAGCCCCTCCACACCCACCTTGCTCTCGCTGGCACTGACGCAGACGTGGCTGTGTGTGTACTCTCTGTTGAACGTGTGCGTGAGCAGGCGCAAGCACTGTGGACAGAGCACACACGTGGTCAGGAGCCAGGCCTCCTAGGACGCTGCTCAGCCAGCCTTGCAGGCTCTTCTACCCACCCTTCCCCAGACACAGGTGGGTTCCGACACCACAGCACAGTGGATCAAGGTGGACAGCACCTCCACCCCGCCCGTCATTGGGTGAGCCCAGGAAGCCTCCCAGGGTCAGGCTCAGGCTCAGGGCCGGGTGTGAGGGCCAGAGGCAGTGCTGCCTCCAGTACAGGAGGCCTTCCCACAGGCCCGTTAAGCCGCCAAAAGAGCCACTTGTGGGTGGAAGTGGTCAGCTCCCCATCAGCACAGGTATTCAAGAGAGAGCGAATCATCACTTGGGAAGGGAGGCTGCAAAAGGCACCCAACTTTCAGTGTAGGTGGGGTGGAGTCAGCGGGCAAGGGGACCCTAGGGACCCTTCGAGCTCCTAGCTCCTTGTGGTGCTAACCAGAGCAGCCATGGGCAAGGCTGGGTTGCTGGAGTTGCCCAGGAATGACTCAGGGCCCTTGAGGGCCTGGGGCTACGGCGGTGCTGCCCACCAGCTGGACCCACCTTGACAGCCAGCTCCCGCTGTCTCTCGTTGGGAGCCTCCAGAGGTGATGGGCGGCCCTCAGTCGAGAGCGGAGAGGAGGCGCTGGAGGAGCCGTGGGACTCAGAGTCCTCGCTGAAGGCTGGGGACAGTGCCTCCGGGACAGGCCGCTGGGTGGTCTCCAGCTTCTCCCGCAGGAGCAGGTAGTGCCTGGTCTTCTCCACCTTCAGACAGGACACAAGGCCTTACCTGCTGCACCTCAGGGGCGACCTCTGGAGCTGGGCTCAGCCTCAGCAGCAGCATGACCCTGTAGGCAGACCCCTGGAGAGCCCCCCCTTCCCCTGGGCTAAGACTGGAGACTGATGGCCCTCAGCTGTGAAATGAGGGAACAGATCCTGGCGCTCCAGGGCTGACAGCACTCAGCCCCCACCCCAGCCCTGCCGCCTTCATGGCCAGCAAGCAAGCTGCTCCCTCTCGGACACATGCATCTCACGCGCCAGGCTGTGGGGCAGGACCGTGCTGCCCTGCAGTGCTGGAGGCTTCGGGAGAGGGCTGAGGGGTGGGCACAGCCCTGGCCTCACGCATCTCACACGTCACGCGTCACATGTCACACACACGGCCCGAGGCAGGGCCTAGATGCTGCATGTTGGTTTCCCTGATCAAAGCCACAGAGGGCAGCCCGGGCCTGTGACTTTCCTTCCGGGTCCCTTTCTGGCCTCTGTCTATATGCCTGAGAGTCTCCCTCGGCTAACTCCAGAGCATGCCTCTGCGCTACACTGGCCGTGTTTCTGTCACGCCCACACAGCCCCGCGGTGCACACTGGAGCATCACATGCTCCTCCTGCAGGTGGCTGTGACTCCCGACGGGCTGTGCTGCCCCCCCAGTGGGCACCAGGCACTGGGCCCTCTCCCGTTTTCGCTCTGCAGACAAAGCCACGTGGACACGACCGTGCAGGCCTCATCCTCTGGGGCTGCCTCACCTCCTGCAGGAGGCTCAGCTTCTCCAGCTCCCACTGGTGGTCCAGAATGAGACTGTCGCTCCGGGGCCTCCAGCCCGCCAGGTTCTCCTCGCCCCGGACGTAGGCCACGGATGTGTCCAGGACTCGCCGGCGCCGGCGCTGCATACCTGGACGGAGGATGCAGACACCTCATCCCGACCTGATGGGCGGCTGCTCCTCCCACCCACCCTAGAGGTCCGTCCGCCTCTGAAACTGCCTCCCCTCTGGGGTGAAGATGAGTTTCCCCTGGTCCTTGGTCCACCCTGGGGCCCAAAGAGCCATGCAGGCCCCCTCCAGAGGAAGTTATCCAGCCCGGCGTCCCGTGGCCATCTCGGCTGTGCCTTGGGAACCCGAGGAAGCCAGCAGGCCTGACTCTCCTCCCTCACTCTCCTCCCATCTCAGAACAACTCCAGAAGCCACAAGGTGAGTGCCTGTGTTCTGTGAGGGATCCCCCTGCAAATGGCAGCTTAGCTGTGGTCACCCCAAGTGGGCAGAGGTCGAACAGGCCAGGAACCCACCCAGTGAGAGCAGGGCAGATACCTACCTGGGCTGCCTGCGTCAGCCACGTGGCACAGGCTGAGCTCGTACACGCCGGTCACACGGTTACTGCAGGGAGTAGAAGGAGTGACACGTGGTCACCAGGCCCCGCAGTGGGGATACACAGCCCACCTGGCTGCTGACTTTCCCCACCATCAACCGCACATTCAGCCTGGCTGGGGTGGTGGGCATCGAGGTCCCTGAGCTACAGCCCCTGTTCAGAGTCCTCATCCGAGACCCCCTCCGGCCCCCAGAGAAAAGATGTATTGACTGGTCTTGCTCAGGTGCCCATGGGGCTGTGACCTGCCCCCACAGCAGCCTCCGCTTTGTCCCAGCCCAGGGGAGACACAGGCAGCACGAGCACAGCATCTGGCATCTCCAGTCCCTCCAGGGCATCGAGAGTCCCGCAGGCCCTAAACCCCACAGAGCAGCCCCACTGTGCCCAGGACAGATTCTGAGAGTACCGCGGTCACCCTCCCACAGACAGGTTGGCAGTATTGCACAATTACTGAGTGACCTCCAGAACGACCACAGTCAGCCCTCGAGGACACTGGGTCCTGACCCCCAAGCTTTTTCCTCCCAGCTGTGCCCAGTGTGAACCTGGATACCGGGTCCATGTGGCAGACCATGGGGAGACCCACTGAAGGTAGCAATGGGCGCCCGGTAGCCTCGGCGGCCCTGCTGTCAGGGCCCTGACATTCCGGCTCATTCTCCCCCACCCCCAAGAATGCAAGGACATGGTCAGCACGCAAGGAAGTGGTCAGCACGCAAGCACGGCCGGTCCCGGTGTTTGGTTTCTGGCTCCCCAAGGTGCCAACAGCCTCCAAGAAGAGCCACCCAGCACGTTCTGTGGGAAGCTGTGTCCAGAGCCCCCTTCCAGGCGCCGCCCATGTATCAAGCTTCTCCTTCAGTGCCTTATGGGTAGTCCCATGGCACAGGTTCCTGTGGTCCCCAGGGAAGATGGTCACCGGCAGTGGGGCACGGTGTGGCCCCAGGATCACCACTGCGGAGGTTGCAGTGAGACTGCCTGCCCCTCCTCCCGTCCCCCGCAGGCTGGCCCTCAAGTCCCTCATACAGGTGTCAGTGTACCCTGCAGGAACCGTGGCCTCCACGGAGTCTCCATCTGGGGTGAGCAGGAGGGGACTGAGCACAGGGAGCCAGCCAGGAGTGTGGCCGGGCCTTGCACAGGGTGAGCTGCCGGGTGGCCCAAGGACCGTTGCCAGGCAGAGCCCCGCCTGGCCTGCACCAAAACCAGGGTGGGAGTCCCTGTGGCCCTCACCCCAGGGGCTTACCTCTCCGAGGCCCGAAGGCTCCCACTGCCAAAGAGGTTGCGGATGGAGCGTGAGGCTGGCAGCTTGGCGTCGCGGGAATAGAAGACCATGCAGAAGTCCTTGGTGATGACGGCTGGCTGGGTGCAGTTCTCCATCTGAGATAGACAGGGGGCGGGGCTCAGGCACAAGGACACCCCAAGTGCCCAGGTGCCCTTCCAGCCTTCTCCTGGGGCACAATGCCCAGCACCAACGGGCAGCCCCAGGGCCTTCCCAGGGTCTCAGGTGTGGCCCGGACCCAGGCAGGAGAAAGTCTCTGCTCCTGCCCTGGAGTCAAACCCCACTGGGGACAGGCAGCCATAGCCCTGTCCACGCCTGGGCGACACGAGGGACCGGTCTCCACGTGACAGGCAGCCACAGCCCTGTCCACGCCTGGGCGACACGAGGAACCGGTCTCCACGTGACAGGCAGCCACAGCCCTGTCCACGCCTGGGCGACACGAGGGACCGGTCTCCACGTGACAGGCAGCCACAGCCCTGTCCACGCCGACACGAGGGACCGGTCTCCACGTGACAGGCAGCCACAGCCCTGTCCACGCCTGGGCGACACGAGGAACTGGTCTCCACGTGTGGGACCCCGAGGGTCCCAGGCACAGACTCACTGCTCGGGCCTCAGCTGCCTCACCATAAAATTGGGGCGACACAGGCCGGGTGTGGTGGCTCAAGCCTATAATCCCAGCACTTTGGGAGGCTGAGACGGGCGGATCACGATGTCAGGAGATTGAGACCATCCTGGCTAACACGGTGAAACCCCGTCTCTACTAAAAATACAAAAACCTAGCCGGGCGAGGTGGCGGGCGCCTGTAGTCCCAGCTACTTGGGAGGCTGAGGCAGGAGAATGGTGTAAACCTGGGAGGCAGAGGTTGCAGTGGAGCCAAGATCCAGCCACTGCACTCCAGCCTGGGTGACAGAGCGAGACTCCGTTTCAAAAAAAACCAAAAAAACAAAAAAATTGGGGCGACACCCTCCCCGACCTTGGAATGTCTGTGAGGATCAAACCAGGTCTTGTTTGAACACGCGCATTTTAACTCAAACACCACAGAAAGCGACTTCCTGGTGGGTGACACGGTGACTGCTAAACAGCCGGCCCCTGTGTCTTCCTGAAGTGGGGGCAGTTGCTATGCCCAGCTGAAGAGTCCCGAGCACTCGCTGGGAAGAGCTCTGCCAACATCTCCTTAGCACAACCTCACCACCGTCTGGTGAGATGGTCATGCCATCCCCATGTGAAGCTGGAATAATTTGGCTCTAACTAAGGAGAGGGGATGTGCTTGCAGATGCCCCCACCCACTGCTCCCCATCCTCCCTCTCCCTCACTACGATGACTAGCAACAAACGCCCACACTTCCAGTTGCCTCTTGCACTTGGAAGGGAGGCCACAGCCCAGGTCTGGCCACAGCCTGTGGACTGCAGACTCCTAGGCGGCCGTGGGGATGGGACACCTCTGTTTCTGTGCTGCCCGGAACGCAGACACAATGTCTGGTGGTGCTGCAGCCATCTTGCATCCCAAGGACAACACCCACACACTAAGTTTAGCAGAGTGAGTTAACTGCCATTCAAAGCACATGGAGACCGGGCGCGGTGGCTCACGCCTGTAATCCCAGCACTTTGGGAGGCCGAGGTGGGTGGATCACCTGAGGTCAGGAGTTTAAGAACAAACTGGCCAACATGGCAAAACCCCATCTCTACTAAAAATTCAAACACTAGCCGGGAGTGGTGGTGGGCACCTGTAATCCCAGCTACTTGGGAGGCTGACGCAGGAGAATCGCTTGAACCCGGGAAGAGGAGGTTGCAGTGAAACTGCGCCATTGCACTCCAGCCTGCGCGACAAGAGTGAGACTGTCTCAAAAAAAAAAAAAAAAAAAATGCACATGGATTTCTGTATTCAACCTTGCAGAGTCCAGTTTTTTTTTTTTTTTTTTTTTCCCCAAAAAGGCACATGAATTTAACCCAGGAACTTGAGAACTTGAGAAGTCATCTGGGTCATCTGGGGTTGTCCAGAGCTTACAAGAACCTCAAGCTTCGGGTCTGGGTGGTTTAGGTGGCGTGCCCTGGCATAGGTGCCTTGCCTCGATATAAGCAGAGAGCGTCATGTAGATTTTCTCTCGGTAAGGGGTGACCCGGTTCAGCAGGAGAGAGTTGTGCATGGAGCTGTCCCACGCAGCCTCAAATTGGTAAAAGGTCCTGAAAGGAAGCAGAGATGAAGTAGAAGTTGATGGCATGGGGGCTGCTCTCAGCCAGGTGGGGGACATGCAGACAGACAGAGTGACAGACGTGGGGCAGCCGCAAGGGAGCGGCCGGGGGCACAGGCTGGAAGCCCGGGCAGCGGTACCAGGAAAGACGGGTCCCTCCTTACTCAGGACCCAGAGAGTAGCGTCTGTTAGACGCCCTGATGGGGGCGAGCCCAGCATTTTCCCAGCTCTACCACAAATGGTGCCCCAGCTGTCACGCTGAGGCTGGAAGGAGAGGAGGCAGCAGGGAATGAGAACAAGAAGGGCAGAGAGGGAAGGGAAGAGGGAGGCAGGACAGGGAGCTGGGACGTGGGGAACACAGGGAAGAGAGAGGGGAAGGCAGGAGGAGAGGACTCGGGCAGAGAAGAGAGGAAGGACAGAGGCAGGGAGGGAGAAGGCAGAGCTTGCACCGGGCCCACCCCAGCCTCAGTCTGAGTAAGGAGGCACCACCATCTCTCCCTGGACCTGAAGGGGACCTGCCCGGGTCTGACAAAAACCTCCATGGTCCATCTCCTCTGACAATGGACTCACCCTTGGTCCATCGGGCAGAGGAAGGCCCCGGGGGGAGGATGCTTGGCATGGAGGCAGGGCGGCTGCCACGAGGCCGTGTGCAAGAGTGTCTCTCTGTTAGCACGAGGGAGACAGCGGCGGCCTCGCTGTGTCCCTGATCTCCAACCTGGAGTTATGGTGAGCACAGCCTGAGCCAGCTGCCCGCTAACCCTGTCCCAGGGTGGCTCAGGGCCAACCCCAGGGGCCTGGGATTGTACATCCCCATGGGGTTGAACTGTGTTCCGCAAACGCCTCGGGTGCCCTCTACTCTGGAACAGGGTTTTCTGTCACGTGAGAGTTCCTGTTTGCAGCCCTCTGGATGGCGGAGTGACTGAACTCCTTCCTCAGGCCTGGTGCTCACAGGGAGGACTGATCACAGCCAAGGTAGACAATTTGCCTGAATCCAGAGTGTGGCCACTCTGCAGACCCTGAGCAGCAGGTTCAGCTCCCCCACCCACCACCCGCCCAGCCTCGCCCAGCTCCCCTCCAAGCATCCTCACAAGGACACAGTTCAGAGACATCAACACACACAGCTGGGCGGCCACGCAGGCTCCAAGGCGGCCGGGCCCCTCCAGAGACCGCGGTGGAGCCCAGGTGGCACCAGGCTGCCCTGTCTACTACACAGCATGGTCTGGGATGCAGGGCACGGGTCTCACAAGTCGGGGGTGTGGAAGGAAGCAGGGACCAGGGAGGGCTGCTGTCGGACACACGTCACGGAGGAGCAATCCCGGGAGAGTGAGGACAGTGGGTGGTCAGAGAAAGGGCGTAGAAGCAGGCAGACGCCGAGGAGAAAGGAACTCGGAAGAGCAGAAGAGGACAGACCAAGCAAGGGCGGAAGAAAAAAGTGAGCTGTACCTAGTGTCATTTCCCAATGAAACGCTAAAGGTGGAGGCAGCCAGGACACACACGTACACACACAGAAGAAATGGAGACGTCAGAACAAGCACCGGCACAAGACCCAGGGCAGAAAACTTAGGAGCTCTGCAGACACACACTGGATCTCACGGCCCCCAAACTCTCGCTGCACACAGGGCTGGGGTGCAAGCCCCACGTGGGGCCCCTGGCCCTGGCCCTGCAGACACCCCCTTCCCTGGGGTCTGCAGTGAGAACCTTGCGTCTGTCCTCAGTCGGACCAGATGGATGCCTGGGAGCCAGGACAAAGGCCTGGAGGGATTTGCTCCTCTCCTGGAACATTGCGGGATCCTGTGGAGGGTCTGGGCTGCAGGCCAGGGCTGGAGCCACTGCAGCCTGGCCCGGAACAAGCGCCTCAGACCGCCTGGAACACCACAGAGCCACTTCACAGCTGCATGGCCTCGGGATGTCACCAACAGCTCTGTGCCCCATTTCCTTGCAAGTACCATGGGGCAGTAATTGCCCCTACCTCAAGATGTCTTGCAGATTAAATGAGCTAATACTTGAGCATGATGAGAACACAACCTGGAGCTGGCACATGTCAGCATCGCTATCTTCACTATCTGGTACACGTCAGCGTCGCTCTCCGGTACACGTCAGCGTCACTCTCCGGTACACGTCAGCGTCGCTATCCGGTACACGTCAGCGTCGCTATCTGGTACACGTCAGCATCGCTATCTTCACTATCTGGTACACGTCAGCGTCGCTATCCGGTACACGTCAGCATCGCTATCTGGTACACGTCAGCGTCGCTATCTGGTACACATCACTATCTAGTACATTCTAGCATTGCTATCATCCTCGTTACCTCTATGCACTGGGTAAGGCCCAACCCGCAGTTCCCACCAGCTCTGTCTCTCCTGCTGGGTCCAAGCATTCGGTCCCGTGCTGGACCCTCTATCTTCTGCCTCCAAAGTCCCTAAAGGGCCTCAGCTTGCTTCTCTTCCCCTTCCTTCTCTTCCGTCTCCGTGTGCAGACACAGCCCACCCATCCCTCACTCCTTGGCCCCAGGATCAGAACCAGCAGGTCTTTTCCAGCATCAGCACCTACTCCCTTCTGTGCACCCTTCAGAAAGCACCAGGTCCTCCCAGCCCAGGCACTCCTCAGTCATCAGGAACCATGTCCCTGCCCCATCCTGGGGCTCCTTGGCCCCCAAGTGGGACACAGCAAAGGAACAAGCCCAGCGAGGCAGGCAGGACCCCAAGGCTCAGCCAGGGGTTGCTCCTTAGAGCAAGTGGACTCTGCTGGAGCCAGGCCTGGGGCTGTAAGTAGAACATGAACCCACTTCCACATGAGGCCCACAACAACCCCCCGAGGGTCCTAGCAGAGAATTTCTCAGTCCAGGTAGCATGTGGCTCTGCCCTGCTCAGACCCCAGTGGACTGGAATCTCTCTGAGAACCTGACTGTGGTGGAGTCTCACATGTGAGCTGGGGAGAGAATGGTGGGAGGGGGCCTTATAGGACTGTGTGCACAGCAGGGACAGGGTCTTCCCATACCACTGTCCCATCCCCCAGGTGCCAAGATGGCCAGCCGGACCAGGGTCTGACATGGGCACAGCCATGGTGCTGCCCTTAGGTCATTTCCAAACTGCTGGTCAGCCCCAGAGACCTCCCACTCTGCCCAGGGGAGCTGCACCCAAAATGCCTCTCAACCAGCCCTTGACCCACATCCTGCCTGGTTCCACCAGGTCACGGGCAGCAGACGCTGGAATCTCAGGCCAGGAGGGTCCCTGGCAACATTCTTTACTCCCCCTACTCCCCTCAAGCCTCTACAGAAGGAGGACAGGTCTTACCCAGATCCCAAGTGAGATTAGAGGGGACAATGGCTGGTGGATGGGAGTGGAGCAGGCTGGCAGAGTAGCAGCTCACCCACACAGGACACACATGGGACCCGCACTGCCAGCTGGGGCTCCCCAAGCTTGCAGGGCACAGCATGGGAACCACTGACAGGTGCCCCGCGATCATACAGCAGGAAACCAAGACGCAGGAAGGTTGAGAGGTGGCCAAGATCACCCTGCCATGGCAAAAACTGCAGGATGTGGGCTGGGAGGGCCTTGGAGACCACTCCAGGACCCCCACTCCAGGAGCGGGCACGAGGTTGCCCCAGGCCCTGTCCCCTGAAGCCCCCCTCACTCTATGCCACGTGACAGCTGCCAAACCCTCAGAATCATCACAAGAGGAAACATGCAGCCCGGATGTGGAGGCCCAGGTTCTCCAGGGAGGTGATCCACCAGGCTGAGGCCACAGATGGCAGCCAGGGCAGACCCTCCTCACCCGTGGGGAACATGATCCCAGCAGGAGACTTGATCCAATGTGAACACACAGCTAAAAGCAGGGGATTGTGCTTGAACCCCGACCTCAGGGATACGGTTCACAGGATCTGGACGTGACACAACACAGTCATGTGGCGCCACCCACCAAGCAGTCCAAGAAAGGAGCAGAGAACACAGGCAGCCCAGGTCTGTCTCTGGGATGAACGCTGGAAGCAGCATTCGCACAGGGCCCAGCCAATTGGAGCAGGCTGGGCCAGGCACCCCTGAGGGCCATAGCCTAAGCCAGCTCTGTAGCCTCTCCACCTCCAGCCTGAGTCCTGGTCAATGCTGGCCCCACTCTCCCAGCCCCCTGAGGGCAGTTGCAGGCTCCCTCCTCGCCTGACTGAGCCCTGCCCCTGGGCTCTGTCCTGTGGGGAAATGTACAACTGGGAAGCCTGACGGTGCCCTTGAGAGTTCAAAACCTGGCCTGGGGGCAAATCTGCAGTAGATCCACCAGAGACAGGAGAGATTTTACAGCTAGGCAGGCCAGAAGGAAGTGGGTGGAGTCCGGAAGCCTGCCTGGAGGAGGGTCCCTTGCAGCTGGGTTTCAAAGCCCACCAAGGACTTAAGACATAGGGGCTGGGATGGTGGGCATGCCACATGCCAGGCATGCCAGATGCCAGGCACAGGCACAACAGAAGCAGGGAGGGGGTGGGGGCGCAGCTGGAGAGAGCTGCATCCTGTCCCCACAGGTTGAGGAATGCATGGACTCTGAGCATCATCGGATGCGGCTCTGGCCCCGGGCTCCACCAGCAGCACTGGGCTGCAGCCACTGACAGCCAGAGCTGGCGCCCCAACCGTGTGCCACCCCTGAAGCCGTGCCAGCTGGGAGACAACCAGCATGTCACTGCTCCCCACCACCTCCACCGGACGGCATGGCCCTGGAGGTCGCTGTCCTCAGAGAAGGAGAATCCTAGACCAGATCTGGCCTCAGAGGCAGTGCCAGGTGAGGGGCTCGGCCTCTTCCACTCTCCCCTCCACCTCCGCTTTTGTGCCCCCAGCTCAGGCAAGCTCACTCTTTCCTGGTGAGCCCTCCCCACTGGGAAGATCCCCACAGTCCCCTTGCCCTGGCTGACACCATCACTGGACTCTGGCTCCGGAACGAGGACCAGCAGTCCCCATCACTGCTGTGCCACAGGGCCAGGACACAGCCTGCTTGGTTAGTGCCTGCTATGGGGAT